GATTTATTTCCACCTGTATGCCTCCTTGGAAGCCAAGATGACCAAACTCAGGCTGTCATATTTCTGACATATGAGAAGGGAGGACTCATTGGAAAAGACAATAATGCTGGGAAAGGTGGAGGGAAGTAGAAAGAGAGGAAGGCCACCTGCCAGATGGATGGACTCTATGAAGAAGGTCACTATGGGTATTAAGGGGTTGCAGGATTTAAGCAGAGCGGTGGAAGACAGGTGGTCTTGGAGATGTCTCATCTAGAGGGCCGCCATGGGTCGATAGACTCAAGAGCAGTTAACAACAAATGCTGATCTGCACTGAAGAGAACATTTGCATTTGAATTTGGAATGAATGACGCTTTGCAGATGTTTTCAATGGAGAAAAAGCAGGTGAGATGTGCAATGGAGGGATCCTTGATGAAAATAACCAGGGCTTACCAGGAAAGCTAGGTAAGCAACTACAGTATTTCTATTCCAGAGCATAAAGGATCAATTCAGAAATCCCACTATGAATAAAGCAATTCTCATCAACAGTCACCACCATACTCTTAGTAAACTCAGCTCTGGCTTGTCAGGCAGTACAATATGCAGCTTTGCAGAATAGAACAAATGGAGCTCTTTGGACTGCCATCTACTGGAAAAGGAGCTAATCCTGTCTCCAGGATCTATATTATTTATTCATGCCCTGCTTTTCAACAATGCCCTCTGAAACTGTGGTTCTCAGCCTTTCTGATTTTCTGATTTTAAGTCCTACCAACAACCACCTTTTCAAACAACCAACATGAAGGAAACAAACTACAGGTTGAGTCTCCCTAATCTGGATTTCTGAAATCCAAAAATATTCCAAAAAACAAAACTTTTTTTTGTCATGGGTAGCTGAGATAATGACATCTTTGCTTTCTGATGATTCAGTGTACACAAATTTTGCTTCATGTACAAAATTATTTTAAAATATGGTATAAAATAACTTCAGGCTATGCGTATAAGGTATATATGAACATAAATGCATTTTGTGTTTTGACTTGGGTCCCCTCTCCAATATATCTCATTATGGTTGTTGTTGGTACCTTCATGTCATTTTTGACTTATGGTGACCCTAAGGCAAACGTAAAATAGGGTTTTCTAGGCAATTTTTTCTGGATTGGGTTTGCCATTGCCATCCTCTGAGGCAGAGAGAGTGTGACATGTCCAAGGTCACCTAGTGAGTATACATGCTCGAGTGGGGAATCAGACCTTGATCTCCTGAGGCTCAAAGCCCTACACCACAGTGGCTCTACTACATCTCATTATGTCTATACAGTGGAGCCTTGCTTGCCATCTGTGGATTTAAGCATTCATGGACAGCAAGCCCCATTATTCCCCAATGGCAGCACATGCATGCGGACATGCTAGCAGCTGCGCACACATCATGCCACCATTAGGGGCAATGGGACATAAGGTCTTGTGCTTTTTCATATCTGCAGGGGGAATCCAGAATGGATCCCCTGGAGATACCAATGTCCAGTCAGCTATCCATATATCCATGGATTTTTTATCCACAGATTCAAGCATCCACAGCTTCAAAATAGTTTAAAACATATAAATTCCAAAAAAACCCCACCTTGATTTTGCTATTTAATATAAGGGACACAATTTTACTATCCCAATGTATTTAATGGGACTTCATCATCCACGGATTTGGGTATCCATGGGGGAATCCTGGAACCAAACCCCAGCAGATTACCAAGGGCCCACTGTATATGCAAAAACAGGTATTCCAAAATCCATAACGCTTCTAGTTGCAAGCATTTTGGATAAGGAAGACAACCTGTACCAACTTTTTTTTTCTGAGAAGGGCTTTTCCATCTTTACAAGCATTCTGTTATTATGTTTATAGTTCATGTAGGGTTTTATTCTTTGTTGTCAAATCAGCTTTAACTTATGGCAACCCTATAAAGGAGACACCCTCTCACTGTAGCTGAATCCTGAGACCCTATGAGTAATTCAATGATTTATCTAAGCTAAGAGTTTAAACCAAGTTTCCCAAGTTCCTTTTAGTTGGGGTCAAACTAGATGCTCCCAAGGTGTGATTTCCTATGATGAAGACATTTTCATATTTAAAAGTCCAAAAGTCAATGATTATTAGCAAACTAGAGTTTACCCATATTGATGGTGGTGGTGAGGATAATAAGAGTGGGAAATGAACTTGGCCAGCCTGGGATGTTACAGATATCAGTTGCAGCTGCTGGGAGGCTGCTAGGAGAAACTATGTCTCCCTCCGCTCATTGTATCATTTACTGTTACATTTGGGCAACAAGGGCTGAGCAAGGGAAAAGAAATTGAATGCTCTATTGTTGATTGTTAAAATCATTGTATCAATAAAGTTGTTCTTTCTTTGCTCCTGTATAGACTCCTGGACTGTTCTGTTATGGAGGGGAGGGGAACCCCTTGATCAAGGATAACAATCTCTCCAGAGAGATTCAGGATGGAGAC